CGTGGGAATACACCGCGTTACATGATAAATCTGTCGGATCGCAATGTCCGTTACTTTCTCTTTTACTCCGAAAGGACATAGTCCCAACGGGTCCTCCAAAACCTCACTTATATAGATAGCATATATATCTCATGCGACTCCTCTACTTATGCAATCTTATACACGTAACCTCTCAACAAATTCTCCATGCAACAAGATAATGACTTTCCACATGCTCATGAGTTTTGGAAAATAATACTTAGGCTCACGTTGGCCACTCATGCATTTTTAAAACAGGATATTCTTGGAATGCAATTTACTGTGCAACATACTTCAATTCTATATTACTGTGAACTCTCAAAAGGCACATAATCATGCTTGAAATTCATAATCTGACAAATACCCTCATCAAACACTTAGCAATCATTCATCATGCATTTGGAACCCAACAACATCAACTTAGACTTATTCTCTGGATGATAACATTCAAGACTAACATGCTCTGCACACTTCAATACTTGGAATTTAACAAATAATCTCTATGAATCACAACATGCACCTTAGGCATGCTTTTCTAACAAGACTTATTCAATTAAAGATCATGCTTCTCAACTTAACAATCAAATAGTATCAAGAAGCTCACATAGGCAAAACCAAGTCTGATACTTCTCATTTTCAAACACTGGAACATTACTGTGACACATTTGCTTCACAAATTCTATCATAAAATGCTCATTTCTAAACCAAATTCAACAAAATCAAAGGCCAAACGTGCGTTATGACGGCCCCGAGGTACCAAGCCACAAGGGCCCGTGACACTTGGTCCGAAATGACACGTAGCTGAGCCGCAAGGTCCCGGCCACTGCACAGGGAACAACTTCACAGACCTTGGGGCGGGGCTCAACTAGGCCCGCCCCTCAAACCGCAATCTCGCCGGCTCTAGGCAACGGCCCTCTCCTAGGGCCGTTCCCTAGGCCCGGCTGGCCACGACTCTAGCCAACGGTCCCCTTGTTGGGCCGTTGGCTGGGGCCGGTGAATCTACTGGTGCACACACTGCCTGTGCACCAGATGATTTCTTCTCATCTGCAAAACATTTTCAGGCAAATCTAGCACATCCAAAACATCAACAACACATCATAGACAAGTAATAGATCATTTAATAGATCAAACACTTCAAATATCCAACATTACTACTCATTTCTACTTATAAAACAATGACTTCACATAGCCAAAACTTAAGATGGGAGTCCATGGGGTTATGCCTTTGTTGCCTTTTCTTCTTGTTCTCCTTCCTTGTGTGGATTTCAGCCTCTATTCTACTCATACACCACTACATTCACCACCTAGACACCTCAAACAACAACACAAGCCAAGCCTAACAAAACTCAGAGATTGAAAGCTAAGATGGATACCTTAAGGAAAAGAGATGAAGGGATGAGATGAATCTTACTGCCTTTGATTTCTTTCTTCTACAGAGCTCAAGAAATGGAGAGGCAAGTGAGAGGGAATCATATGGTAACAAGGGAAAAGTGGAGTATATATAGGGTGCAAAACCCTAGGTAGATTATCAATGATTGGTTGGTGGCAAAATGGTAATTTGGCTTGACTCTTTAAAATATCAGACAAGGGAAGGTGGAGTCTAGTGGTTCACCAAGCATCATGCACCAAAGTCTAGAATCATGGTTTTAAAATAGTTTTGGGGTAAAATTGCATTTTTCCAAAAATACTTTCTAGACAACCACTTAGTTGAGGTTTCTCAGATTTCTCCTGGTTTCACTCAGATTGACTTTCGGATCAAAAACTAGGTACGCAATGTACCCGAGAATTTAGGATTTTTGAATTAAAATAAGTTCCAGTGTTGAATTCATTTAAAATGTAACCCAAAATAATTTATTCAAACACCAAATTTATCTAAAAAAATTTTATAGAGTGAAAAATGACTATTTTGGAATTTCTTAAAACCGAATTTATAAAATAAAATTTTGGGTTGTCACAGTATGTTTTAGGATTCTATAGTTTTATTTCATAGTTTTACTTCTTCTTTATCTAAGTTTTTCCTTTGCTTGTGGGCTTTTGGGTTCTTTTGATGAAGATCACTTGGAGGAGGAATTTCAAGAGTAAACTAAAGAGTTGGAAGGTTTTGGTTGAGCAAAGAAGGTAACCCATGTCCTACAAAACCTATTTCTCATTTCTATTATGATTTCTTGATATTCTTGAGTGGTGATATGCATATTCTTGTGTATATGCTTTTGTAGAGCTTGTATCTAGGGTTCTTGATGCTATTTGTTGAGTTGTTCCTTGTGTTCAAGTCCCTTTTGTTGTTCATGTGAGTATTGAAGTGTTTGGAGTTGAATTTGTGCATTCTTGGAATTTTTTCCGAAGTGGGGAATTTCTTCTACAGGGGTACCAGCGGGCACTTCACCACCCGCCAAACCACCTGCCGGTACAGGCTTTGGGGCAGCGAGCAGTTCGGCAGGCGCTTCACTACCCGCCAAACCACCCGCTGGTACGGGTGGGTAGTTTGGGCAGGTAGTTTGCCTCCCGCCGAACCACCCGCTGGTACGTTGGTGTTTGGCATCCGTTTTGTTGATCCATTGTGTACTTGTGTGTATTTGTTGATGTCTCGTAAGTCTATAGCGATGTATTAAGTATCCTTTGGTAGGATTTGGAGTCTTGAATCGTGTTGTAATCCAATATTGTGATTCATTGGATTCAAATGAAGTTTGTGATATTCGAATAAGTCTTTGTGACTACCTTGTGACTTGCATGCTAGTTACATTGCTTATTGGTACTAGTATGTGTTTTCCCTATGATCACCATTTTGATTCTTAATTGAATTGGTACTTGAGCCTATCTATTCTTTGTAATCCGTTGATTGGAATCCTTGAATTCGATGCATTACCTTTGGAATATTTTATTTGTATCTCTTTGGTGAATTCCTTTCATTGTGATCTTTTGTTGTACCTTATTCTTGTTGATTCTTGATTAAGCTATTATTGAGCTTACCCGTTGTGATATACAATTCGTTTGGAATCTATGCATTGCCTTGTATCTTTAGATTCCTTGTGTATTGACTCTTGTTGAGATGTTGGATTTGTTGTGATGGACAATGGGGGCTTTACTAATATTGGGATTCGAGATAATGGTATGTTTGAATCGGGACTAGCTAGATCCCCGCGGATTGTTATTTGAATCGGGTCTGGTGACCTCGCAGATTTGTTACTTTTGTCTTCGGACCGGGTCCTCTGACCCCGCGAAAACCATAATTGGGACTTAGTGTCCTCACGATATCTCTAATCGGGTCTACGACCCTGCGGAATCCATACAAGGGTCCGGTGACCCCGCGATACACATTAGCTATAGGCCCTCATCTTGATCCATTGTGATTCGAGTCATTTGGTGACTCCGCGTTGATTGACTTGGTTTGGCGATGTCCTTTATGGATTTGGAACCTTGTCGGGATTTGATTGATTGTTGATTGTGTTGAGAACCACCATGTGATTGATTATGCTTATCTTGTCTTATTCATTATCTCTTGACTCGTTAATTCTTGATTCGTATCTCTTGATTTATATCTCTATTTGTTGAGTGGACTCTTATTGTTGATTCGTGTTTGAGTGGTATTGTGGAACACTTGGTTGTATGGTCGGAGTATTACTTCTACTCCTCGTGTTTTGAAAGCTAGAGTTATTTAGGAATATATGTATATATTCTCAAGTCTCAAATGATTTTCTTATAAAGTATATATATATATATATATATATATATATATATATATATATATATATATATATATATATATATATATATATATATATATATATATATTGTACTCAACTCGTTGGAGTGGGTTAATTAGCAATTTTTGCTAACGGTTGTTATACCTTATGTTTTCAGGTGCTTAGTTGAGCTGAGAGCGCGTTAGTGGAGCCTGGTAGACTAGTTTCTTTCTTTAGCTTAGTGGTTTTGGCCTGTGTGCCGTGAACTTGACTTTTGGATATTAGTTTTTGTAAGCCTGTGCATCTAGATATGAAATCTAGATGTGGCATAACATCCCTACAACTCTGCTTAGCTTCCGCTGGTTTTACCTATGTTAATGGTTGGAAATTGCTTTTATTTTCTAAGTTTAAATACTTATTATTTGTTTAAGTTTTGGGGGTGTTACAAGTGTTCTGCCATGTTTGGAGGGCAAGGAATTCGGCTGTCTGGGTGGGCATTTTGACGTTGCCGCGGAAGATCCTAAGGACAGTCTCGTCGACATTACATGCTTGGAGGCAGCTCAATGTCTGCAGCTCTCCGCCCACTGCCAATGCTGTGCTCACCCAGCCAGCTACAATACTGCCCAGGTGCTACTTCGACAGAGGATACGACCAGTCGACGGGGGAGGCTTTGTTTGGAGCTGTTCTCCACTCGCCAGAAGGGGAGTTCATTGCTGCGGTCAGTGGGCGTCTTTCCAGCTACTCGTCTCCTTTAATGGTGGAATCCCTTGCATGCACAGAGGCTTTATCATGACTAAAAGAGCGTGGAGTATCGTTTGCCGACTTCTTCATCGGTTTGTTCAGAGCTCCGCAATTGCTTGTCTCTCTCCCGGCCACACATTCTCTCATACATTGGACTGATCATTGAGGATTATAGGGGGATTTTGTGTGCTTTTACTCATTATTCTTTTAGCTTAGTGTCACATTTAGCTAATTTACTAGCTCACACTCTTGCTTCAGAAGCCTACTCTCAAGCTAACTATATGTACTGCTGTACTGGGACATCGTCCCTTCAAACTCTATTTCTGCGTTATTATAATATATTAATATATTAATATCCCTTGCTTTTGCTTTCAAAAAAAATGTTGCATGACATGGGTACCAAACGATACTTAAGGGCAAATAGAAATTATACAAAAGAATTAAGGGCAATTTAGGAATTTCAAAAGTCAACCCATGGTACCCACATGCTAATTTATTTTCTTTCCCCGTCAAGGACTTAATAGTTGGCCACTTGATAATTGGTTGCGAAATTTCCACACGGTTCATTGACTTCCCAAGTCTCCGCTAAATGCCGGCTGGCCTGCGTTATTTATCATCATACGCTTCCGCGATGGCTTCTTACCAGCCGGCCAACTACCCACCATTAGTAAACCGCCGGAAAACACCCACCATACGGCAATACCATGGCCTTCTCATCATCCCTCTTTTCTTTGTCTTACTGCTTCACTGTGATCCTTGTTGTTCATGGAAAGCTAAGTCTCCTCCCTTGTGATTACGATGCTCTGTTGTCTGTTCAGAAACACTTGGGCGTCAATGCTCTTCTTCGAGATCCGTGCGACTCCCCCGGAATATACTGCGAACGACGAGTTGTAAACAACTCGTACGTTCTGAGGGTGACGCGGATTGTTTATGAATCCAAGCAGCTTAGAGGGAGTCTTTCTCCGGAGATCTCAAGGCTCTCTGAGCTCAAAGAGCTCTCTCTTGCAAACAACCAACTCTTTGATCAAATCCCAACTCAGATTCTTAATTGCAAGAAAATGGAGATCTTGGACCTTGGAGGTAACCAGCTGTCCGGCCAAGTCCCTATTGAATTGTCTGCTTTGCTACGCCTTCGAATCCTTGACCTTTCAAGGAACAAGTTTTCTGGGAACCTGAATTTCTTGCAGTATTTTCCTAACCTGGAAAAACTCTCCCTCTCCGATAATTTGTTCACTGGCAAAATACCTCAGTCTTTGAAATCATTCCGGAATCTCCGTTTCTTGAACATTTCCGGAAACAGTTTACTAAGAGGTCCTGTGCCGGTGATGAAGCAGCAGGTTGAGTATGTATCAGTATCAGCAGAGGCAGAGTTGAATGACGAACCAAAACGCTATATTTTTGCTGAAGAAAGAAATCTAACCTCATCAGCAATGGCCCCTACAGCCGCAAACAACGCTCCAGCTCCAGCTCCAGCTCCACAAGAAGTGCATAAACACAACAAGGGCAAAAAAAAAGTAAGGGGGTGGATTATTGGGTTTGTAGTTGGAGGTTTTGCAGGGAGTTTATCAGGGGTGCTGTTTTCTGTGCTTTTCAAGGCGTTAATGTTTTTAATCAGAGGGCGCGGGAAAGATTCGAGTTTAACAATTTTCAGCCCACTGATCAAGAAAGCTGAGGACTTGGCTTTCTTGGAGAAAGAAGATGGATTGGCGTCGCTAGAGATCATTGGAAAGGGTGGATGTGGAGAAGTTTACAAAGCTGAGTTACCTGGAAGTAATGGGAAGTTGATTGCTATAAAGAAGATTGTGCAGCCTGCAAAGGATGCTGCAGAGCTGGCTGAAGAAGATAGCAGGCTTATGAATAAGAAGATGCGTCAGATAAAATCAGAAATTCAGATTGTGGGTCAAATCAGGCATCGAAATCTACTTCCTCTGCTAGCCCATATGCCAAGACCAGACTGTCATTACCTAGTTTATGAATTCATGAAGAATGGAAGCCTACAAGATGCACTCCAGGGTGGGCCTGAATTAGATTGGCTGGCGCGCCACAGAATTGCAGTGGGAATAGCAGCCGGTCTGGAGTATCTTCACATAAATCATACTCAACGCATAATTCACAGGGATCTGAAGCCAGCAAATGTCCTCCTAGATGACGACATGGAGGCAAGGATTGCAGACTTTGGGCTGGCAAAGGCAGTCCCCGATGCTCATACCCATATCACTACTTCGAATGTGGCAGGAACTGTGGGGTATATCGCTCCCGAATATCACCAAACACTCAAGTTCACGGACAAGTGTGATATCTACAGTTTCGGGGTGTTATTAGGCGTTCTTGTGATGGGGAAGCTTCCATCGGATGAGTTTTTCCAACACACATCTGAGATGAGTTTGGTGAAATGGTTGAGAAATGTGATGACTGCTTCTGACGATCCCAAGCGAGCCATTGATCCTAAGCTGTTAGGAAATGGGTACGAGGAGCAAATGCTTTTGGTTCTCAAGATTGCTTGCTTTTGCACTCTTGATAATCCAAAAGAGAGGCCTAACAGTAAGGACGTCAGGTGTATGTTAATGCAGATTAAACATGAGTAGTATGATTGAGGGAAAGAATAAGCTATCCTAGCACGATATGTACTGTTAAGTTTAAGTTAGTTGCATCGCCTCGCCTCGAGGTTGGTTACTTTACGTTCGTTGTTCAAATTAATTTCTGTTCTGTAGTTACGTTGGCCGGGTTAATGTTGAGCTATATATACATATTTGTAGTGTGTGTGGATGAATATAATATGTACTATGTAACCTTACATTTGGCCTGGATAGTTTCAGATTTGCAGCACTTCATTTCTTTCTGTGAAGACAAAATCCTCCATCATAGTTTCAGCCCCAAAACCATCTTCTGCCACATTTCTTTTAATTTGCCTTCTCAATGTCAAAGTTTCTCGCTTTCAAAAACCTAAACAATTCATGAAAATCATTGTCCCTTAGCTTCTTGGAAAAAACTTATTAATAATCTCGGCTGGAAAATTAAATCACTGGGAAATCAATAACTTCAATTCAGCCTTGTATCAATACACTTTCCTCTACAAGTTTTTAATAATCATGTATTCATGTATATGACACAAGACAAATTGCTAGGTTGCAACGAAATAATTCAACGAATAAAAAAAAAAGTTAGGAAAAACCTCAGAATTTTCTTATATAGATACAAGTTTCAAAAACAGGCAATAACGATAATGAAAAAATCGGTCGTTAGATACTGTTGAGATTAACGAGAACAAAAAGTAATAATAATGACAAAAAGTAAATAAAATAAGATTTACGTGGTTAGCGAAGTGCCTATGACCACGATAACATGCTCGGCGGTTCTAACCATAACTTCCCATATGGAAGAGAATTTAAAAGTAACCCGCACGGGCTTAGCGCAATGGTTTAGTGGGTAGTATTTGGAACAAGAGACCAAGGTTCAAATCTCGGCGGCAGTGTGAGAATTATGCCCAAAGTGGGCATTTAGCCTTGTCTACTGCACCATTGAGTCGCCTTGTCTACTGCACCATTGAGTCAACGTGATTTACATTGGATCGGAGTGTGAGAGGCCCTTACAAAATTTAAAAGTATAGATATAGTTGTTATAAAAGTTTGAATTTCCACTTCCCAAAAAAAAAGTTTAAATTTCCAGAAAATCATGCATCAATTGCCAATTGCCATTAACGGGAACAACTTTATCATAAATTCTACCCATAAATAATAGATCATATAAATTATTATCCGTAGTTCGGTAGTCCCATGTATCTTACGCTACGATAGCCCACAAGCAACATTTTCCTGTCTTTTGAGCAATAACTTCATGTCCTTAATTCTCACTCCATGCATCTTTTCTGCAGTTTTCAATCCAGAAATAACTGCAAAGTGAATGACTTTTATTTTACTAAAACCTATATGTCGTGAACTACTTTTATACAGCAAAGATCCGTATAGTATATGATCTATACGTGCGAGTTATATACTTATATATAAAACAAATGAATAACTTTAACTGAAGTTTAAAGCTGGTAGACATTTAAAAACAAAAAACAAAAAACAAAATTTGATAAGTTTGTAGTTTTAGATTTCTAGCTATTATATTTATTAGTATTTTCACCCGTGCGATACACGGAATGTATTTATTATAATATATTAAAAATATTTGGATCAATATACAATTATTTAAATTATAACATCAAATATTATATAATGCAATTGAATATATGATTTGGATCGTTTATGTTTGTTGATGTTATCATTGCTTGAATTCGAGCAAATAATTACTCAAATTAATAGCTAATGTGTAGATGTATGCATGCGGTGCTGTAAGTTTAGAGATTTTATATATCAGCATTTAGGATTTTTATAAATTGGGCAAATGTACTCGTTCTCTAGCAACTTAGTTATAGTAATCAATTGCTATCCTAATTCATTTGTATAGATGACATATTTTTGTCTAGATATATAGCAATTTTGGAAAAAAAAAACATAATATCATCGATTGTATTTACACATTATTGAAAACTTCTTTGTAGACGACATTAGTAGTCGCAACACAATCTTGTCCATCCTCGTCTAGAGCTATCACCTTCAGGGCAATCAGGATGGGTGACTCGGGAGAAAGACACGTACAATTGTTCATGATTAAAGACCGATTTTTTTAGCAATAACCCAACATGAGTTAGTGTTTGGCCTTGGCTTTTGTTGATAGTCATGGCATATTCAAGCATCAATGGAATTTGTTTATGCTGGAACTTGAAGGGCAATCTCGTATCAGAAGAAGTGAGAGACATTCGGGGGTGATGGTTTTATTGGGACCGGGTCCACCATAAACCGGGTATAGAGACACAAGACGGGGGTAGAAAACACTGGGTTTATTATCCGGGGCATTAAGCGCAAAATAGTACGTACAAAGTCCGAGGTACAGGCCCAGAATGGTTTGCTGGGGTATCGGAGGGTAATACCGCGGGCAAGTACTTGGGGTTACCCTCATTAGTCGGGAAGAATAAGACACAAAATAAGGAGTTGGAATGCAAAGTTCATGTCCAGAGCTGGGTGCAAGGTGCTTTTAAAGAATGCAGTCCAAGCAATGCCGGCCTACGCTATGATGGTATTCCTATTGCTCGAAGGTCTATGCAAGAAGATTGAAACGTTGATGAATGAATACTGGTGGACCGGGCGAGTTGGTAATAGCAGAGGCCTGCGGTGGAGAGTGTAATCCTATTTATCAACCCGAAAGTAGCTGGGGGATGGGATTCAGAACCCTGCGGAGATGAACAAGGCTCTGCTTGGCAAACAGGCTTGGAGATTGATTACTAAGCCCACTTCCTTAGTGGTAAGAGTGTATAAGGCACGGTATTATCCTAACGGTGATTATTTTAATGTTGTTGCAGGTAGTAACCCATCTTTTTATTTGGAGGGGGTTGCTAGAAGTGCAGCAAGTGCTCAAAGAGGGTTGTATGCGTGTTATTGGAAATGGCCTTGGCATCGTGATAGGGAGACATGCATGGTTACCAGCACAAGATGATCCGTTTATTACAACAATCTTGACGGCAGATGTGTATGAAGCACCTGTGGCTACTCTCCTTAACAGTAGTGGTACGGGTTGGAATGTGAATAATGTTAGGAATACTTTTAATACCCGATGCCAATTTGATTTTGAATATTCTGATCTTTGTTAGGAAGCCACAAGATGCGTGGTACTGGTTTTGGGATCAGAAAGGGGATTACACTGTTAAATCTTGTTATAATAGATAAAGGGCGATGTACATAATAATCGGCCATGGTCCCGGTTGTGGAACGCAGAAGTACCGTCGAAGGTGAAGCACTTTGCATGGCAGCTAGCTTCGTCTTTTTGCCAACATGTGATGCCCTACAGTCTAAAAGAATTAATAGTTATGTGGTTTGTCACATGTGCAGGGCTGAGCCTGAAAGTGCTTTTCACATTTTCGCAACTTGCAACGAGGCTGCTAGAAATCCTAGAATATGGGGGCTGCTGGGCGTACCTGTAGCAGCTTCATCTTATGGTAATGTCATAGACTGGTTTTTTGGCTCCCTTATGCTGTTGAATGGTGAAAACCTGGATAAATATATAATGGCATGCTAGGGAATTTGGCAAACCCGAAATCAATATGTTTAGGAAGGGGTAGTGTTTGATGTGCATGTGATGCTACGCCGAACGCTTGCATTTTGGCAAAATTGGAAGAATGCTAATGCTGTTGCACTTGCTGGCCGAACTGAATCAGGTAATAAACATTGAAAACGGCCAGCCTCAGAGAGATTCAAGCTGAATAAGGATGCATCAATCAATGTAACAAGTAACTTGATGGGGTTAGGTTGGGTGCTGAGAGATCACGAGGGCACGTTCTTGGCAGCAAAGAATGTGTGAATGGATGGGGCATATACAGTAAATGAAGCAAAGGCGATCACGTTGAGAGAGGCGTTAAGTTGGTTCAAAGGCACGGGAATGGGTGGGGTGGACGTGGAGATGGACTCACAGACTATGTTTTTTTTTTTCCTTATCTTACCATTCTTTTAATTCTAATTTTGGACTTATTTTGGATGATGTTAAAGAATTGGCTTCGACGATAGATGATGTTCAATTCCTTTGTGTTAGGCGATCTACGAACAGTGCCGTCCATATTGTGGCTAGGGAGGCTATTCGGAGTCAGGTTTGGGGAGTGGTTTGATGCCCCCCTCCGTTTCTTGTAAGCACTTTGGTTCGAGATTTAATGCATTAAGTTGTTTGCTTCAAAAAAAAAAAAAAAAAAAAAAAAAAAAAAAAAAAACAAGCTCCAAATTGATTTCCTAAATCTTCTGTTTCAGTCTTGTTGATGGAGTGCTGGATTTTGGGCTATATTTATAGGTGAGTTAGGAGTGTTTGAGTACAACATTGAGTTGGGAGATTGGGTTTGATTTTAACTAGGTTTATCAGTGTTGTATGGAATTAGGTTTCTTGTATGTGATTGCCGGAAGATAAAGGCCGGAGAATTAAACATGCATGTTTTTAAAGATTTTTTATTTAAATCTTAATAATTTAGTCCGGCAGTTGAGTTTTAATGGGAGTTTGAAATTTAGTAAATTTAACAGAGAATTATAAAACTAATAATGAAGAATATAATTTTTAACCGGAAAAGGATTAATATAATATTGTTGAATAGAAATATGAATTTTAAAATTGTCGTATTGTATTACAAATAGGAATTCAATGTAGAATTGTAGTACGAATAGGAAAGTAGGAAACAATATATTCTGTTAGGAATTTTAATGTAGAATTATAGTACGAATAAGAAAGTAGGTTCTATTAGGAATTGTATTACATTATTTTATAAGATTACACAAATCTTAATAGTATAAGACTGTTTTGGGCGGAAAGTTGAAATGGAAGATTTTATTTTTATATATAGTATAGATAGATAGTATAGATTATCTTAATTTTTCATCTTCATACTATTTTTAGAGATCCAAAAAGACAATCCGTTACATTTTTCCGATCCTTTCTTGCACTAATAAAATTTCTTCTCCAATAAATCATACGGAATATACATACTATTATTGTTTTCCGAATATAATAAAATAAAACAACAAAGCAAGTTTGTTCTAGATATTTTATATAAAATATATAGAAATTCCAATGGATAGTTAGGTGATATAACACTTAACAAGAAAATATTAAATAGTAAATATTATATTATTAAAAATGCTATTTCCCCCATTTTTTTCCTAATATTTTCTCTGTGATAAGCTAAGATAAAGCAGTTACGAAGAATATACATATTGTGGCTTAGCTCAGCAGGTACCTTAAGGCCTCACAACCAAAATAAATAAATTAGTTCAATAGCACCAAGTTGCTCCCTTATAAGAGAGGTTGTGAGATTGAGGCTCAATAAAGACAATATTGACTCACGACTTGTCGTCTTTCATGGAGCCGGACCAAAAAGATCGAAACGTGTTTGGCTTGCCTATTTACGAAAAGTAATCAGTTAAATGATGAAACGTACATAACTGCTCGCTCCATCATGTGTTAAGGAAGCCAAGCCAATCCAGCCTTTATAATTACGAAACCAAACTAACGCGCACTTTAAAATTAAAAGTTGTTGCTTGTACAGCAAAGTTTGCGAATTTCCATACCTAGCTTTCACCCCATAACTTTCCTTAATGTCCTACTCATCTACAAAGTCTACATAGTTTCTCAGCCTCCATCTCTACTATATACGGAGTATTATTATATTATTACTATGCTCCGATCCTGCATGCGGCAGGTTTGTTGTTGCCCATAAATACACGCACTAGCTTAGATATCTATAAAAGGCAGTGCCACAGCCCACAGTCCTCCATCCAGTACATCTTCAATTCTTCATCCTATCAAATTTAATTTGATTGATACATATTAATTAGATTTCCAATATATATTATGATGATGAACAAGTGGTGGTTGGTGGTTGTTGTGGTATGCGTAGCTTTGGTTGTGGGGTCCGGGGAAGGGTTCGATTTCAAGGAGTGGGAGTTAGAGAGCGAGGAAAGGTTGTGGGAGTTGTACGAGAGGTGGAGGAGCCATCACACGGTGTCCACGAGTCTAGAGGAGAAGCAAAAGAGGTTCAACGTGTTCAAGGCTAATGTTGAGTATGTCCACAACTTCAACAAGAAGGAGGACAAGCCTTACAAGCTGAAGCTGAACAAGTTTGCAGCCCTGACTACCCAGGAATTCAAAAGCTTGTACGCCTCTTCCAAAATCAAGCACCATCGGATGCTACAAGGCGCTACTTCTCGAGCTTCCCCATCTTTCAAGTACGCCAATGTGAGTGACATCCCACCCTCTGTTGATTGGAGGGCCAAAGGCGCTGTCACCAATGTGAAAGACCAAGGCCGATGCGGAAGTTGTTGGGCATTTTCCACTGTTGTAGCAGTTGAAGGTATAAACCAAATCAAAACAAACCAACTGGTGTCTTTATCGGAGCAAGAGCTTATTGACTGTGACACTCAAGAAAACCAAGGTTGCAATGGAGGACTCATGGATTTAGCATTCGATTTCATCAACAACAAAGGAGGCATCTCCACGGAACAGATATACCCTTACAGGGCTGTAGATGGCCGGTGCGATGCTCAAAAGGTAATTAATTCATTTATATATTTAATATTTAATATATGATCGATCGATCGATATGATATGATGTTTATATATATACGCGCATATATGCATGCAGATGAACTCCCCGGTAGTATCCATCGACGGACATGAGGATGTGCCTGCTAACGATGAGGATGCACTGCTTAAAGCCGTAGCCAATCAACCTGTCTCTGTAGCCATAGAAGCTTCAGGATTTGATTTACAGTTCTATTCAGAGGTAATATATATATATATTTATATATGTAGTATTTCAAATCTAGGATAGCTTGAATTGCTAGCTTAGCTTATTATTACTGGTGGTGCAAAACTGCAGGGTGTTTTCAATGGAGCATGCGGGAAAGAGTTGGATCACGGCGTAGCAATAGTGGGGTACGGAACAACGCTTGACGGGACCAAATATTGGATTGTGAAGAACTCGTGGGGAGGTGAATGGGGAGAAAAAGGATACATTAGGATGAAACGTGGAGTTGAGGACAAAGAGGGACTGTGTGGAATAGCAATGCAAGCATCCTACCCACTCAAGAACTCCAATACCAACCCCCAACACTCATCATCTCATCAACCTAAGCCTAAGGATGAGCTCTGATCTCATCCAATATTATATATATTCAATTTGGATATATATATATAGGCATTTATATATCAAACATTACAAACTTCACTTCACTTTTATTGTTAATTATAAGCATTATATTGCAACTACTCATGAATTTATTATGTATTTGTAGCATCTATATTGATATAAATGGTGAAAGAATTATATTGAATAAAACTTCATATTTCTGTTTTTTTTTTTTTCATCTTCATTTCTCCCCTGTTCTATTATTTGATTTTATTTATTTATTAATATTTGTTATCTTTTAAGTAATTAACATTAATCTATCAAATTCGTGATTATAATTACAAAAATGTAGTAAACGAATAAGTTAGGGGTTCAAGATGGGCAAATTATTCGTTGCATTTTTTTTTTTTTTGAGTACTGCTTCCTCCATTAAAATGTAATATATGTTGATATCTACTTTCTTTATTTATTGATGCAAAAAGTTCCTCCATTAGAATGTAATATATGTTAATATTTATTTTCTCTGTTTATTGATGCAGAAAAAGTCAATATCTTATCTCTTTTCTCTGTCTATTGACGCACATAGAATCAATATCGTATCTACTTCCTCAATCTAGTGAAAGACAAAGAGTCCAACTCAAACCCATAACCTCATGTTTGACCCACAATTATTCCCACTAAACTAATTTCAAATGCAAACATGAATTGAATTCATCATGATAAATATGACACTGCATTACGCGTAAGAACTTTGACCAACAAAAGAACAGAGATCAATTAATAAGCTCCTGATGATCATTCACAGTGATGGTTCATCGTCTCTAAGAGTGTCACTTTCGAAATCACCTCCAAATTCCTCTGCAAAACAAATTCAGAAGGGGGAATTTTAAGAAGCTTTTTGCGTCTACCGTAATGAAAAATCACCCAGATGCTTCTGTTCTACTGTATGTAATGTAAAGGCACTACCTAACAGGCGACCACAAGTACCCTTTCCTGTGTCCTCCATCCCTGATCCCCCACATTTTTCTGTGATAAATTCATTAAAGAATTCTGCGTGCTTTGTTTGCTTTCAGAGTGTTGGGATTTTCAACTTGAAAGGAAGGCTTCAACCAGTACTGCTTTATAGCCGATAGAGAAACGCTACTGACAAGAAAGGAAAGTTCCTTCTATCTTAAAAGTCATGCAATAAATCTGGGAGCCCTCTCTTGCCGGTGACAATGGATCTTGGCTTGGTTGCATTTTTCGCCCTCTGCATCAGTGTACATTCTTAAATGGGAGATCTAGGGTTCAAGCCTTGCTTCTTCCTTGGGGGAACAAGGAGTGGGTGAAAGATATTGGATTCCGTCTTGCTTTTGTTCCCCCAAGTCGTGCTATTAGGTAAAGTGTGAAGTTTTATGCGTTTTTTTTTTTTTAATAGGTAAAGATTCAACTCTTAGAACCTTCACATTCTAGATCTTGGCTTGTACGTATTTTGAGGCGAGCTGAATAGAGAAAACTAAGCTCAAATATATTTGAAAAATGTGAATATATGGATTCTCTTCATATTTACATTTACTAGATACTAGGAATGATGTGCTGCATATTTTGCTTCTCTTCTATTCTCTTTCTGCACAATCCCACATTTGAATGGATGGTCTTTAATGTGCAAATGCTTACAAACTCAGTTCAATGCCAGATTATTGGCTTTATTTGATTTTTTATTAAATGGCTATTCCTTTTGTCAATGTTTCTTATGAAAATCCATGACAACCAGCAGAAGAAATAATGTATTCTCAAATCTCAAGTAACAATCAGAGCATCCATTGAAATGCTAATTGTGTCTAGCCTTTGCCCCTGCAGTACTTTGTACCCAATTCTTTTATTGATCAATAAGGGATAACTACTATATGGAAAGCAACAAAAATGTGTAGTTACTTTGTTGTTTTTTTTTTTTTTTTTTTTTTCTTTCTCTTTATTCATGTTTGGCAGGTTTTGCTGAAATGGCATCCAACCTTAGCTCTGAATTGTCAAAGAGAACAACTTTTTTTCATCTTAAGGTGTGGGTACTGATAGCTATATGTGCGGGCCTGTTTATTGTAGTAGTTCTGTTAGTGGTGCCTTTCTGTCTATCACGTAAAAAGTTCAGAAAGAACCATGAAACACTTCCCACAAGCCACATTCCTCCGGTTTCAAAGGAGATTAGAGTTGACAATTATTCACAAAATAACTATAATGACCATTGTGACTCCTTTCAAGATACTTTTAGAGACAAAGATTCTGATAAGCTTTTGGGCCATTCTAAGAAGACTAAAAAGTTTGATGATAGCACCCAGTCTGGTACATTTAATAATTTGGAGAATAACAATGGGCTTGAATCAGGGGACAAGGGAAATTCTACTGCAATTCTTTGTACACCCATTACTGGCCCATCCTCTTTGTCTGATTCGCCCAAGTTCTCTCAGCTTAGTTGGGGCCATTGGTTTACTCTAAGGGATCTAGAAGTTGCAACTAACAAGTTCTCTAAAGAAAATATTATTGGGGAGGGTGGCTATGGAATTGTTTACCGGGGCCAACTTGTCAATGGAACTCTTGTGGCCATCAAAAAACTACTCAACAATTTGTAAGTTGCTTGCCCTTACTTCTGCAGAACTAATTTCTTCCTATTCCCGATGATGTAGTTGTATTGAACTTTCTAATCTTCTAACTTTAGAGGACAAGCAGAGAGGGAATTCAGAGTCGAAGTTGAAGCCATTGGGCACGTTCGACATAAACATTTGGTTCGACTTTTGGGTTATTGCATTGAGGGTACCCAAAGGTAATCTCTCCCTCCCTCCTCCCCCAGCCACCCCTCCCCCCGCATCTCTCCCCAAATTAAAGTAAAAATATATATATATAAACAAATAAGGGGAAACACACAGACACAAAAGGGAAAGAAGTGAATGAGAAACCACATTCTTGTGATATAATGCATGTCTGCTTAGAAAGAAATGTGATTGTTTTGCAGCAGCTTTATAAATTGCAACTTTAGATATTTGGAACTTGAAAGCATATATCTTTGTTGCCGAGTCTCCCTGTTGAATTTAGGTTATTGGTGTATGAATACATAAACAATGGCAATTTAGAGCAATGGCTTCATGGGGCCATGCGACATCATGGGTACCTCACATGGGAAGCCCGCATGAAGGTTCTTCTTGGTACTGCTAAAGCGTGAGTTTCTCTCTTTAAACTTTTACTGATCTATGAACATATTTGTTATTTTATGTGCCGCTTTTTTTTTGAAAGGATGTGCCTCTTTAATTACACTTCAATATAATTCTTTTTCAGGCTTGCATATTTACATGAAGCAATTGAACCTAAAGTAGTCCATCGAGACATTAAGTCAAGCAATATACTTATTGATGACAATTTTAATGCTAAAATTTCGGATTTTGGTCTGGCCAAGATGCTTGGCGCGGGAAAGAGTTATATTACAACCAGGGTAATGGGTACATTTGGGTGAGTTTGTTTTTTTTAAGAGATTGGTTTCATCATGGTATCTTCGTTCATTATGTATCCTTTTAGATCCTTGATATTATGCCTGTTTGGGAAAGCTTATTTAATTGGATTATTTAGACTATTATGATTTAATTGATTGCTTTCTAGGTGTTATGGGTTATACAGTACATTTTAGCATATTTAATCCAATAATCCCTAAGTTGGACTAGATTATGGATTATTCACAATTGACAATCCATAATCATAAGCTTTACCAAACAGGCACATAATGATACTCAAATATTCTTGAAGCTAGTTAAGCAATCATCTACTCTTGAATGCTTAGGTATCTAACCTGTGCCTAACAGATATGTTGCGCCTGAATATGCAAATAGTGGTCTTCTAAATGAGAAAAGTGATGTTTATAGCTTCGGGGTTTTGCTTCTGGAAGCAATTACTGGAAGGGATCCGGTGGATTATGGGCGCCCTGCTGATGAGGTTTGTTAATTAGATATTGGATTTAGTTAGAACTAATTTGCTTTTTGGGAGAGCAAGTACCTGGTTCTTTTATTGTTTGGCATATGGAAGTCTCAAAATATAGAGAGCCTTTAATGCAGTGTGATTCAGATTCACAGGACTTGTACCTTTTAAAAAAAATAAAATTAGACAAGTAATTCAGAGGAGTCTTACTTCATGGATGAATACACAACTTTTCATGTTTTTATCTTATGTTGAGAAATCTATTTGAAATTCATTTTCTTTATACAATGGCTTATCTTCTTCTTTTCCTTTAAAAAAAAAAAAAGCTTGTTTTTTTTTTTTTTTTTTATAGGTAATATACTACAATACTTTGTGCTTGTTACCTACGTACGAGTACGTAACATGCCCTAGATGTGCAAACCATCCTGCCACAAAATAGCTTTGCATTGACTTAGGAAGGACTGTCCTTGTTGAAGGCATTATTGTTGTCTAATTAAGCATAATTTTAACTTTTAAGATTACCCTTCGCTCATAATTTCTTAATGGCAAGATACCTCAAACTTCTTTATGCTCACTCTCGTGTTGGCTACTGCAGGTAAACCTTGTGGACTGGCTCAAAATGATGGTAGCCAGCAAACGCTCAGAAGAAGTTGTTGACCCCTTCATTGATACAAGGCCATCTACAAGGGCTTTCAAGCGTGCTCTTTTGACTGCTTTAAGATGTGTTGACCCAGATGCTCATAAAAGACCTACCATGAGTCAAGTTGTGCGCATGCTTGAATCAGAGCAATATCCAATACCACGAGAGGTTCATTTCTACCTTTGAACTTACCTTATTAGGCTTTGAAGAGTTTATTTATTTATTATTTGAGTACTATTGACTCTGTTACAATGCAGTATTTGTTCACAACTACTTTCTCAACCTACTGAATCACAGAGTCAGTACTGCCCACTAAGGCTTGAACCCATAACCTCTTATTATGGGAGAGAAACTTGGTGCCACTAGACCACAAGGCTATTGGTGCTTTGAAGAGATCTAATTCTTTGCAAACGTGTAACTGTTTTTAACATGGTTCTCTGAACTCTATCCACATCAGGGCCGAAAACAGCAGAAAAATCAGGCAGGTTCAGTGAGCTGAATCTCATGAAGGAAAGTTTGGCAGGGACCGGACCGGAGCTAGAGCCCAACTTTGAAGGAAGAAAGCAGGAGAGCAGCATGTGTATACAGCTATACATTACCTCCTTGTCTAATTTACTTTTAATTCCCTTTCTGATTATCTATACCAAAATCATACAAGAGAAGTTTGGGTTATACTATTGACAAATGGAACGGGTATCAAGCATTATGAGGTATACATTGTTCTTTATATTATTGTTAAGGCTTTCATTTATATGTAGCTATTAAGTTAGACCATTATATTCATTTATTGTTGTTAATTCCGGGAATAGTTTCTTGACTATTGTCATTTATCAATTTTTATTAGTTATATTGTCTTTATTTTTTACAATGCAAAGATTTTTTATCTTCAAATTCATTAATTAATTATATTCACTACATTGTCCATTGTCTTATTTTTACATTATTTTGTAATTAAATATCAAAGTTATAATACAAAGTATGTTATATATTTATTCACTAAGTATTTTATTAATACCAATGGAAAAAATAAATAAATAAATAAACAGTTTGAAATTAATTATATTAACTACTTGAGAGAATTTGTTGACAAATAGGGTATTCAAATAATCCAATAAATTGAAGTGGGAAACTATCTTGTAATATCTCTGGATTACATCACATCTAGGTAATTATATTTTTTTTATTAAGATGATTTAAAATGTATAAATTTTTACTACCTTATATAATCTTATTCCTTAATATAAATAAACTAGGCTATAAGAATTTTTCTATCCACAAGAACTCATTCAACAATAATGGTTGAACTAAAAGTACGGCAAATTATGCTGTGCGTCCGTATGCACCATGCATGGTGCATACGGATGCAAAAACGACGTCGTTTTAATAAAACGCGCATCTCCCCTTAAAAAAAAAAAAAAAAAATCAGGTTCGATTCCCAGCAACAACATATGAACTAAAATTCCATAATCGATGAACTATAATTTCATAATCTGATCTATGAACTAAAAATTCCAGAATGAATGAACTAAAGTTCCATAATCTATAAACTAAAATTTCAGAATCGATAAACTACAATTCCATAATCGATAAACTATAATTCCATAATCAATGAACTATAATTCCATAATCTATGAACTAAAATTCCAGAATGAATGAACAATATAATGTTGTTGCTGGGAATCGAACCTGAATTTTTTTAAAGGGGAGACACGCGTTTTTTAATAAAACGACGTCGTTTTAGCATCCGTATGCACCATGCATGGTGCATACGGATGCACAGCATAACGATTGTAAAAGTACCCCGATCAGAACACCTAAAGGATCGGTATGTTTTTATGTTGATAATAATATGTAAATGGTAATTAGATCATTATCTTACGTAGCTACATTTAAAACTCATTATTAAAAATGGTAATGTAGGGCAATAGAACATCGCAACACACTTGACGCATTGAAAAGATGTTGAGACTACAACAATGCTGCAATCAATCTTGCAAATTCAGAAAATGAAGAAATTTCAAAAATAGCCACTGTTGCAGCATTCATTAGTCATGTATGTAAAATACTTATTCTGCATCCTTCAAATATATTATAACTAATATAAATTTACAATTCATTTCATTTTCAAGACTCAACCAATTTGGATTATAGGCAAAATCAGCATCAATCTTGACAACAAAAACACTTAGTATTCGACTACTTGCAAAGTCATTGTTGTTAGTATCAAGTAAACAAGTTATGGAACTAGAACAAGATGTACTACTCATGAACTTCTTGTAAGGGTCAAATAGGGCTCTCGAACAACACACAATAATGCAATTAGACCACTGAACTCAAAAAAACTGCAATTGAACCTCTAAACTAACCTATTTCAAGCAGTTTGTCCAATTTACAGATTTTCCCCATCTCTAATAGGTCATCCAATTTAACATATTTTTTAAAATAATTTAAAAAAAATTAATTAAAATAAACTAAAAATAAATAAATAAAACATAATAATTCGTCTCCGCCGGAGACGAAGATCCATTCTTCGTCTCTGGCCGGAGACGAGGATCCCTTCTTCGTCTCCGGCCGGAGACGAAGGTCCCTTCGTCTCCATGGCCTGAGACGAAGATGCGTTCCTCGTCTCCGGCGAAGACGATGGTCCCTTCGTCGGACCTTCGTCTCCATAGCTGGAGACGAAGATATGTTCTTCGTCTCGGTGGAGACGATGTGCGTGTGTGTTTTTTTTTTTTTTAATTTTAGTTTATTTTAATTATTTTTTAAAAAATTATTTATAAAAATTATTTTAAATTGGTGACCTGTTAGAAAGGGGGGAAATCTTCAAACTGGACAAATTGTTTGAAATGGGTTTGATGTGGATAATTACCTGGAGTGTATAGTACTGTACATTGTATGTACAAGCCAGTATGAGAATCCTATGAAAATAAGATCAAAGAACTCTTTTATTCAATGTTGTTCTTGAGTGTTTAGAGAGGGTAGAGATGATTTTATGCTCTAGAGAGAAAGTGGAGGAGTAGAGGAGAAGGCCCCAAAAAACCCCCCACACAATAAGAACTAATCCCAATTATATAGGACTTGACCTGTCAACTTGGACCATGACCCTAACCGTTTGACCCCGACCCAAATCGGAGCACGAAGCGTACGGAGAGGCTGAACCCGGGGTATACTCCGGGGGATATTCCCTATCAAGTAGCCCCCCAGTCCGTGCCCTGACGATGAGTTAATGAGAAAGGGTTCGGGCTGGAAGAGTCGACTATACGGTCCGCGACATGCACTGGTTGGCTCGTTTAAAACCTTAGGCTAAGAAAAAACTCAGTGGGAAAATTTTTAGCTAAAGAAAAAAGAGCACAACCTTAAGCGCAGTCCGATAGAATATAAAGGGTCGTTTGAGTTTTGCTGATCGAGGGATCGAATTTGCAACGCGATTCAACTAGATATGACCGGGAGGTCGAATCTTTACCGATCTAGCGATCGGGAAACTAGCCATGACCGGATTGCTAGGTATGATCTGGTGGTCGGATTAATTGCGATCGGGAGATCTAACTTTACCAATCATGGGATTGGATTTAGGTATGACCAGGAGGTCGGATTAATGGCCATCGGGAGATCTAACTTTACCAAGCATGGGATTAAATTTAGGTATGACCAGGAGGTCGGATTACTTGCGATCGGGGCGATTTCCCCCTTTTTGCACTCGGTTTACAAACCGAGAGTCTCAAGCGGGGGGACACTAGGAGACCCGATGGTCTAACGATAACAAGACCCGGTAGGTCACTTTGATCCGGAAGCGCAAGGCGCTAGGAGACCTGAAGGTCTAACGATAGCAAAACTGGGTAGGTCGCTGTGTTTGGCAAGCACAAGGCGCTAGGAGACCCGAAGGTCTAATGATAACGAGACCGGGTAGGTCGCTTTGATCGGGAAGTGCAAGGCGTTAGGAGACGCCAAGGTCTAACGATCGGGAGACCAGGAAGGTCACTATGCTAGGAGACCAAAGCGACGACGAGGGCGGGAAGGTTACTTTGCCTGGGAAGCGCTTTAGTGGGCTCCGTAGGCCAAGGCCTATCAACAGCCCCCCACTCCCTATGTTGCGAGAATCGTCAACATGAGGGAGTAGATACAATAGCTTCCCGAGTTTGCCGTTTAACTTTGATTGCGATCGGGTAGTGACTCGATCGAGCTCAAGATGCCAATGTACCGGACCATACTTATAGCATCGATGGTCGATTTGCCTAACTTGTAGGACTTTGAGAATTTACGGAGTCTAGACCTACCAATCAAGAGATCGGACCTCAAACACGATAGAAGATTTGCAAGCTACCGATCAAGCGATCGGGTTTTTAGCGCGATCAAGTGATCAATCTTTACCAATCAAGAGATTGGTTTTACCTGGGGTTGGAAGCCCGACCTCGCGAGTTCAATTGCCTAACTCGTAGAGCTTAAGGCCGAGATGCAGTCTCGGGCTAGCCGGGCCGGTGGTGGCAATGCCGACCTAACCAGACTCAACTATCTAACTGGTGGTGGTAATGCCAACCCAACCGGTCATAGAGCGTCGGCGATGGCGATGCCAACCTAACCGGACTTAGAGCGCCGGTGGTGGCGATGCCGACCTAACCGGACTTAGAGCGCCGGTAGTGGCGATGCTGACCTAACCGAACTTAGAGTTCAAACGACACTGCGGTCGCTAGGTCGGACTTGTGCCCTTACGGGTCCAGAGACCAAAATTGCCTACTTAGTAGGGCTTGGACCGGCGACTACCTGGACTTAGGGACTATCCCTAGTCATACTCCCAACCATATTAGACCGGGACGGACCCGGGCTCTAATTACCTCCTACCGCCGACCATATGAGGTCGGCACAAGCCTATGAGCATATGGCCTACCAATCAGGGCGGGACGGACCCGATCGTATGCCTACCCTCGTAGGGCTTGTGGCCTACCGACCGTGCTAGGACGGACTCGGGCTTTTACCTACTTTAGTAGGGCTTCTTGGCCTACCGACCATGCTAGGACGGACCCGAGCTTATGCCTACCCTCGTAGGGCTTCTTGGTCTACCGACCGTGCCGGGACGGACCCGGGCTTATGCCTACCCTCGTAGGACTTCTTGGTCTACCGACCGAGCCCGGACGAACCCGAGCTTGTGCCTACCCTCGTAGGGCTTCTTGGCCTACCGACCATGCCGGGATGGACCCGGGCTTATGCCTACCCTCGTAGGGTTTCTTGGTCTACCGACCGTGCCGGGACAGACCCAGGCTTATGCCTACCCTCGTAGGGCGTTTTGGCCTATCGACCATGCCGAGACGGACCTGGGCTTATACCTACCCTCGTAGGACTTCTTGGTCTACCGACCATTCCCGGACGGACCTGGACTTATGCTGGTGATGGCAAGGTCGATCTAACCGGGGTTTAGGTGCCGGTGGTGGAAATACCGACCTAACCGGGCTTTAATCTATACAATCTACAACTCGGAATTAAATTACAAATAATTTATAAACTCTCCAAATCTAATAACAAAAAATGGCATGTCGTGCATCTCGCTCAGATTTTCAAATATGAGCTCTGACGCATCCGGGAAGATCATCTAAGTCTAGAAAACGGTCTGTTGCACTTTTCGCCCAGATTTTCAAATAGGAGCTCTTACGCGTCCGGGATGATCATGCGTGTTCAGTGCCAGTGAAAAACACTAAAATTAACTCGAACCGATGACCGGGAACTCTTCGCGAACCACGATTCGTTCTGACCTGTACGATCGCCGAAACATGGTTTGCTAACCCGGCAGGGGCGATCGGGGAGCTTGCTCATGAAAATAATTTTGCATGCCGGCTACAACAACTGAGTTTGGTAGGTTCCACACTGCATAATTTGAGTTGTCGACTCACAAACTAATGAGGGATTGAAGCCGAGCTTCATCTGGACGAATAAGATAAGACAACATTGTATTGTACAATTTCACCGATGATGTAATCACATTTGTGCATATTCTTACTGTTATTTTGAATCATCTCAGTAACTAAGTTCTTTAATTTTGCTTATTTAATACATGTTTTCCTTGCATTCTCATTAGGATATGGTTTTACACTTGCTTTGAACGTTTTACGGTGTTTGGTAGTGTTTTTTAACCATTACAGGTTAAGTGCAAAAGCAAGGGGAGATTTTCAAGCACGAATGGTCAAAAAAAGGAGGAAGTTGAGGCATCACAGCCTCGACGCGTCGAGCTCGTTGCTCGACGCGTCGAGAATTTCCAGTAACTAAAGACCGTGCCCAGATCAGAGGCTCAACGCGTCGAGAGCGCGTATTGCTGAAATATTTGGAAGTATGAAACTTTCCTAAAATAATTCCATTGGATTCCCACTATAAAAGGATCATCTTCCATCAATCCTAGAGTTCTTTTTCCCAGATTTTGGTTTTAGAAGGCAAGAAGGAGCAAAAACCAAGAGGACCAACTTCAAGATTTACAATTGGCTTTGGAGTAGAGAATTGGCTAGGAAGATTCGGGAGAATTCTTTCCCTCTTTCTCTTATTCCTATTGTTGTTTGTTTATCTTTCAAGATTGTATTGATTGCTATTATGGCCATGAGTGGCTAAAAACCCTTAGGGATTTTTGGGTGAATTTGTTTATGAACCTATGTGCCTAGTTCTTTAATTCTTTAATATATTTACGTTTGGTTTTATGATTTGTGTTGCAATCTTGTTTTAATATGTTGTTGGTAGTAATTAAAGGCCTAAATTACTTGCTACATAGCCATGTTCATGTCATAACGAGAGTTAGGCATAAATTAGGGCACACACGATTGCACTTGACTGTTGCACCTTGAGAAAGGGCAAATTGGTTGGGGAATTTATTCTAGATTGTTGCACATCGAGAGATGGTAGTAATTGGGAATTAATGAATGATGTTCTTCGTTCTTATTGAGTGTTTAAGCCACGAGAGTGGAAATTCACTAGGGATAGAGATTACGAGAGTAATTCAATTCCACATTGCATTCTCACACTAGTCTTAATTCCAAACTAAATATTACGACTTTGGTTGGCACTAGGTGATTAAACATTGTGATCCCAAGAATCCTGCTTTGCTCTATTGCTTACAACACCTTGTTAATTAGTTTATTCTGTCTTTTATTTTCTACAATTATCAAATTTTCAAGTTTCGTTCAGATTAGTTCCATATGAGTAACCAAGTAGCTAGTGCTTAGTACCCCACTTCCCTGTGGATCGATAACCCGAATACTCCGGGTATTATTTGTTTGCCCAAATTATCGCAATCAAATTGGTGCCGTTGCCGGGGAGGTGGCGTTAAGCAATTGTAACTCTATCTCTTTAAATGTAAATACCAATGCAACATATATGAACACAAAAGTGAATAGTAAAGATAAACAATCACATTGAGTAAGAATATCACTGTTGAGTTTCATTTGAAACCATCTCCATAACTATCAAATTCATCTTTCTCATTTTAAGACTCCAACTTTCTCTCTTGTTAGTTTGCCCTGAATTCTCTACATTTGCTCCGTTTAAAAGGTCACTTTGGTGTAATTATCAAAGGTTCTGCTTCATTGCTCTATCTACTTCTTTACATGTTCTCATCCACATCCGTGAATATCTAATTGAGCCCCCAAAACAAAGCCAAGGCTCTTATTATAACAAAAAATTGCAACATATTAACCATTAAGAATCTGCAGAAATTTACCATTTATAGAAAGCACCTATTACCACATTATTGGATTTCAGGATTGCAATGAATACTTGGCAATGATAAAGATAACAAAATTATGGTGCATGTCAGAATGTCTCTCTTTATCATTAAAAGTCACTTACGTGAAATGTTCGGATAAAGCTTCAGGTGTCCTCTTTTTTTAGACAGGAAGAATTTAAAAAATCAACAACTATCATTTTTTAAAAACTACAAATCCTTATAGAATTCAAACCCACAAATCCTTATAGAATTCAAACTCACAAATCCTTATAGAATTGAAATTCACAAATCCTGAGAAGTCACAGAATGGGACTAATTACCTTTTTCTCTTTTTCTAAAATCTCTCTGATTGGATGATATGCAGCTGCCACACATATATTTTGCAATAAAAAAGACATACAATATTAGAATCCAAAAGAACAAAGAATTCACAGTACAAACAGAAAATAATAAATACGACATTACCTTAAAGAAGAAAGAATTCACAGTACGGGAAGAATTTTAAAAACCAACCACTCTCATTTTTAAAAAAACTACAAATCCTTAGGATTCTAACCCACAAATCCTTATAGAATTTTAACACACAAATCCTTATAGAAAAATCTAATTCACAAATCCTTATACAATTCTAACTACACCAGTATATTAAGCCATTGCCCACTGGTTAGAGGTACAAAGCTAAATTATTATGAAGCACAACATCAAAGTCGGAGACACCTAAATTATTCTACAGCACGGAAATTTCTGCAGGTATGTTTCTATAATGTTATGTCCAACCTCCATTAACCTACCTAAAGCCTTCCGCTCTCTGTTTAGCCTCCCCGCCACATCGCACTGGCGATCAACCAGTCCCATATGTGCTTCCACTGACCACCCACCATTCTTCACCGCCTCAACATTATTCTCCACCTCGCCTTCAAGAAAAAGAGAAACTGGAGATTAAACCGTCTCTGTTGCGTCCTTTTTTCTTTCTTTCTTCTTTTAGTATATTTTATATATTAAATCCTAATCTTTATTAATTTATATTTATTTATTTATTTATTTTGCAAACAATACCAAACTCTAAAAATCAAATATTTATAAATTCCTACCTAATCTATGAATTCCTATTACTCTTTACTCTTGTGGCAGGAGGATATTAAACATGACAACTGGATACAAGTTAATTGATATTGATACGCAAACAGTGAAATGGAATTATAAAGTTCGTGTTATTAAGAAAAATGAACCAAAATTTGCTATTGCAACAAAGGGGGAAAAGTACATGTTCATTGTCCTTGAAGATGAAAGTGTAAGTAATTCATAAAACATAATCTCTCTTATTATTATTATTATTTTTATTATTATTATTATTATTATTATTATTATTATTATTATTATTATTATTATTATTATTATTATTATTATTATTATTAGAGTAAAAGACATTTTTAGTCCTAAATTTATAGTGGCTTGGACAATTTTAGTCCTTTATAAAAAAATTTGCCATTTTATGGACAGAGTTATTGTGGCGAGGACATTTTTGGTCCTCCGTCTATATTTCTGTTAGATAACCGTCTGAGAGAGGTGTGATTACGTCAATTTAGGCTATCTCCTTCTATCTATTATATCTATGTGTGTTTTGTTTTCTTCTCGGTCATAATTCGAAGGAGTCGGAGAGTCCAAGTTGCAGTTGTACGAAGAAATTGCCGGAAAATCGAAGCCGCCAAACAGGTTACTAATCAAATAGATAGAAGGAGAATCGAAGCCGCCAAACACACATTGATATAATAGATAGAAGGAGATAGCCTAAATTGACGTAATTACCCCTCTCTCATACGGTTATCTAACAGAAATATAGACGGAGGACCAAAAATGTCCTCGAAATATAGACGGAGGACCAAAAATGTCCTCGCCACAATAACTCTGTCCATAAAATGGCAAATTTTTTTATAAAGGACTAAAATTGTCCAAGCCACTATAAGTCTAGGACCAAAAATGTCTTTTACTCTTATTATTATTATTATTATTATTATTATTATTATTATTATTATTATTATTATTATTATTATTATTATTATTATTATTATTATTGTTATTATTGTTATTAATATATTATTATTCTTATTATTATTATTTCATTTATCAAATGCATAATCATAAATGATACATTTAAATGTAGGGAACTCGAGTTCAAGCAACAGTGTTTGAATATGACATTCCAATGTATGATATGGTTCTACAACCAAACTCATGGTACAATATTTCAAATGCCGGTGTCAGACCCGCGCGATCTGATTTCAAAGTTGTAGATCAGAGATACAGCTACACTTGGATTCTAAATGCTAGGACCAGAATACTAGCAATTGACAATGTTGACACCACACTGGCTCCAATTGAACAAGTTTATACACCATTCGAAGATTTTTATCAATGCATGAAAACTTGTAGAGAAATGTGTAATTTTATTTTGTACTATATCATTATAACAATATCTATTCTAACCATATATATTCTAAATTATATATCTTCATCCTCTATTGAGAACAATTGTAGCAATTGTCATTGACAAGCTACCAAAAGAATTTGTCTCAACAGCTAATGGAAATCAAAAAATCAATGACTTAATTCTTGTGGATGAAAAGTAAGCCCCCCACTCCATTTATACTCTTAAATTATATATATATATATATATATATATATATATATATATATATATATATATATATATATATATATATATATATCTATCTACTATACTTAAGAGATATAGTTCCATAAGTTATATTGCCTTTAAAATGCCCAATGTTAAAATAAATAAAAATAAAAATAAAAAACAGGTTGAAGCCAATCATAATAACTACTTGGGGAGGATTTGTTGACAAAGAGGGTATTCAAATCACTCAAGAAATTGAAGCGGGAAACTACCCTGTAATATCTTTGGATTACGTCACAGTGGTTCACTTTAAAGGTAAATCATATTTCATTATTAATATGATTTAAAATGTATAAATTTTTTAAATACCTAATCTTATATTATCTCATTCCTTGAATAAACTAGGCATTTCTCTATCCACAAGAACTCATTCAACAATACTGGTTGAACCAAAGGTACCTAGAGCAGAACACCTAAAAGAATGGTATACTTCTATACTTGTAATAATTTATGTACATGTGAAATATATCATTAGCTTGCGTAGCTATATTGAAAAACGCATTATTAAAAATGTCTATGTAGGGCGAAAGAACATCGTGACACACTTGACGCATTGAAAAGATGTCGAGACTACAACAATGCTGCAATCAAACTTGCAAATCCAGAAAAAGAAGAAATTAAAAAAATAGCGACCGTTCCACCATTCATTAATCCTGTAAGTAAAATACTTATTGAGCATTCTTTAAATATATTTAAACTAATATAAGTTAACAATCACTTTCATTTTATAGTCTCAACCTGCTTGGGATTAAGGGAAAAATCAGCATTAACCTGGACAACAACAACAACACTTGGTATATAGGATGTAGTCATTGTTTAAAAAAGGTTTATGCACAAAGTGACTAGCAATTTAACTGTATGCACTGTGGTGAAAAGAGAGCGGTGGGTACTCCAAGGTTAGTATCAATTCAACAAACCAATTTAACAAAAAATACACACACACACACACACACACACACACACAAAGATTAAGTACTACACTCATTCATACCAATTCCAAAAATATGAACTATATAAAATGCACAGGTGCAAAATGGATGTGGAAATTGTTGATGAAACTGGGCACACTGCGGCTGTAACACCCCAGATTTTCAAGATATTTAAAACTTATAAAATAAAGGTGAAATCTCATTAAATCCCAAAACATAATTCAAAAGTGCGGGGTGCTATGCCACACCTGAGCTAGAGAACTCAGGTGCACAGGCTAACTAACTAATATCCTCAAATGGTATCAATACTAAATGATGGCACGCAGGCCGAAAGGGAAAAACTATCTAAGCTACGCCCAAGCTTCTAGCGCGCTCCAGTGATCTACTTGTCTGTGCCTGAAAGCCAAATATATCTGTTCAGCGAGAGATGCTGGTAACCCACTCCAACGTGTTGAAATACAATATAAATAGATATATGTATAGATATACGAAAACCATTTTTGAACATGAAGATATATCCTACGAACTCTAGCTTTTTAAAACAGGGATAGACTCAACAGATAGAGCTAAGCACAGACAGCAGTTATACCTGGCATATACAGTTCACAACAGGCAAGACAGATAAGATAAGCACAATAAATAATCATAACCCAACATGTACAATCGCCGGTACAAATCCCATAGTCTTATCCCCAATTTACTCATAACAACAACTCATCCATACTTCATCACATAGCACACTTTGTTGGCGCCGCAGGACCAATCGCATGCCCATACATGAGGGTCAGCGCATATAGCTCTGACACGGCCCCGCAGCACCCTGCCCCGTCTCACAGCACGGAGGGGTCGATCGCAACCGACCGATGAGCCGCAGCTCTATATGATATTTATATACCTGACCGGTCTTTACCAGCCTGGTTAACAGTTGGGATGGTTCTCAACCCATTCAACTGCCCGTATAGTGGACCTTTGTCCTATATAATATTTATATACCTGACCGGTCTCTACCAGCCTGGTTAACAGTTGGGATGGTTCTCAACCCATTCAACTGCCCGTATAGTGGACCTTAGTCCTATATAATATTTATATACCTGACCGGTCTCTACCAGCCTGGTTAACAGCTGGTATGGTTCTCAGCCCACCCGACTGCCCGTATAGCCCGATTGACCTCAACCAAATCGGGGTAACATGCACACGTAACACATAGCAAGCACATGCAACCCACATTAACACATTGGGAAGGGGGAGAAAACGTATAACAAAACCTATGCGTGATCCTTCAGATACTAGGAATATTCCTAAGGGGTTCATACTTCTTTCACCTAGGTCAACGGGATACCAATTCAACTAGCATGCAATATATAAGACTCATACGACCTACGAACGGTACCCGAAAATCAAACTAGACTTAGGCACGATAGACGGAGTCCGTTGGGACACCACGGGGGTCGGGGGAACATTAAACGGGGAAAGCCGGGATCCCGATGTGGGGTACAAACCAGCGGGTAGCCGGTGGGTGGGGGTCACCCGTCCGCGGCACTATTCTGGGCTGCGGGTGCCGGGCGGGCAGCTGCCCGCCCGCCGGCTGCCCGCTGCCGGCGTTGCCCAACTTGGCCGCGGGTAGGTGGCGGGTCCCATACCCCCACCTACCCCCCACTGACTCTTTTTCATCAAAAACGCACCGGGAACCTTTGTGGAACCCGAAACCATGCTTAGACACTTTCAAGCGCAATTGATAACACACGTAGACAATTAACGGATCAAAATCAGGAAACGAACGGCACATAACCTATCATGCTTTTCTAAACATAATAAACACCCGATCATGCGAATTCCCACCCAATATACCAAAAATAATTCCATACGATACAACCTAGGGTTCTAATCATTTTTAAATCAACAAGGACACAATTCATCTTCTAATATCATGATTCGGTAAGAATATCACATAAACATCATGAACATCCTACAATCATCAAGAACATCATATAATCATCAAGAACGTTATATAATCATCAAGAACACCATAATTGTCAAGAACCTTTCATCATCAAGATCACCCATGGGATCATCCCACCAATCATCAATAATAATATCACGAATCATCAATACACAATAATATGGGAAAATCCTAAGAGGGGAATCATAGCTATGAAAATAGGTTTTGTTGAGATATGGGTTACCTCTTAGCCTTAATTAATTCCTTGGCTATGAAGGGTCTTTCTTTAAGCTTTCTTCTTTCTTGATTTCTCCTAAGGAGATTCTTGGAACTTCTTGTGTGGTGAGAGATTATTGTGGTGAAAGATCTAGGTGCCTTTTATATCCCTATTTATATATTTAAGACTCCTAATTAGGGCCTGAATGGTATGGGTTTACTAATTCTATTCCTTATAGGACTAAGGACTTTGTTTTAGGGATAAGGGTCCATGGTCCATAGTGGACCATATTAATTAATTAAAGAGAATCCTAATCATAATCTGAATAGTAAAAGGCCGACTTCCTTTATTCCTAATAGGCCTAAGACTCTCATTTAGGCAAGGGTCCACGGTTCATGGTGGACCTCATTAATTAATTAAAGGGAAACCTAACCGAATTAAATCATATTTAATTATTATTAACGGGATTAATTAAATAATTAATCCGGGATTGAAGGCCGTAACACGGGGTGTTACACTCTCCCCCCTTTACTAGAAGCTTCGTCCCCGAAGCTTAGAAATCATTGCGGGGGTAACGAGTCAAAGGTAGTACGGTGGTCCTATAGAGAAAGTATTCTGCGGGGAAACTGTATAATTGTATGTCTATGTGTGCTGGGTTTTTGGGAACGATTAGGTTTAAAGGGTTAAGAGAGTGGGTTTCAAACCTAAGGACAAAGTGAATTTTGGAATTAGGATCAAAGTTTTCAAGGTTGCAACTTAGGGTGTGAGGTTGCCACCTTGTATGGAATCGTTAAAATAGGGAATCAAGAATGTGGTTTAAAGGGTAGAAAGGGTTTTGAAATATGGAGGGGGCCGATTTCCCGAGGGAGGGAAAGGAATTCGGCTAGGATGCGTTAAGGGTTCTCGATTTTAAGTGACTATTCTGGTTTTATGCTTTGATCCCGACGTATTGACGAACTGATGATCCTTCTTCCTTGGTGTTGGCAATTGCTTGACTTTAAGATCCTTGTTAGACCTTGCTTCCCACGCTAAAGTTTCATCCTTCTCTCCTATCTTGAGGGAATCTCCCGTGATGATTTAGCACTTACTTCGTTAATGCGTCCAAGGTCTTGACCAAGTTTGGTCAACCAAGCCGATCTCTTAGGGCGCACTTCCCAAATTCTTCCCAAAGTCTCTTGGGAGTCGATAAGCTTTGGGTTGACTTTTTCTTATTGAATTTCATCTCTTCTTTAGTGAGTGAAATTCTTAGTAAGACTTCATGTCTTCTCCGAGGTTCGGCTTGTTGTGCCCTTTTGTGTTACTTTTAATGATGAAGGTGTCCTTGCATGCTCTTTTTCTTCTTGAAGCGCAGTTGGTTACCTAATCTCATTGTGGAATGACTCGGTGAGTTTATGAGTCATCTCATTTCCTTGTGGGTCCTTAATGACCCTTGAGATCTTGGCACAAATGTGCTCTTTACTTTTTGCCTAGCACCACGGGCTACGTCGTTCTTGATTCCATACAACTTGTAAGGAGTCCTCTGATTTGCTTGAACGATATCCATGGTTTGGAGGAGTCCCGATCCATCCTTAGCATTTTGACTTTTAAGGCCTTTGTGAGTCCTTAGCACGAGTTCCCAACTCGTCTCCTTGGTCTGCACAATCCTTTATGCCAATCATCCCTAGTCGGTTGCATCGTAGAATCCAACTTCAACTTCACGTGTAATGCAATTTGTTGTGCTTTTCCGATGGTGTCTTGCGTGTCAAGGTCTTTTACCGATGACACCATGTTTGGGCGACTCATGGTTCCTTACCCAAGACTCGCGTTCAGCAATCGAGGCACACAAGTGCGCCACGAATCAATAAAACGAGGGGTTAAGAAATCAGCACATTGTACCAGTGGGCGCGAGGTGGGCGGTCGTCCGCCTGCCAAGCTCCTGTCAGGGACCCGTCAAGGTCCCGTCCAGGACCCGTTAGGGTCCCATCAAGGTCCCGTTGGGGACCCGCGGGAAGGTTACTAGGAAGAGTGAATTTCTTCGGGAAAAATCCCAAGAATGCACCGATTCAAGTCCCGACAAGCCCCATGCCCATGTGCACAATAAAAAGGTACTTGAATACATAGGATGACCCATCGTATAGTTTTATTGATCCTTATGTACGAGTTATAGATGAGTCAAGACTCTCGCATGTTCTTTCCGTTCAGTAGGTCGGGTCCGGTTTCCAATTAGCAACCTCGTCACCTTCACCGGGAAGTTGGTTATAAGCCAACTTTGTCTTTTCCTTGCTTGATTGATGACAAGCCTTCTTGGTTTTTCTTGGAGTTCGGCTTGTCGCTCGTTCTTTGTTCAATCCTTTGGTGACCAAGTGCTTGGTGATGCGTTTCTCTTCCTTGGAATGCATTTGATTGACTGCCCTTTGACGTCGCATGGTGTTTTGGTGATTTTGTGTGTTACATGTACTTCTTACGGTGCCTTAAAACCATCAAGGTCCTTGTTCCAAGGTAAGGCCCTTATTGCCGGGAGGCTCTAGTTGTATGATACTTTCTATGCGTCTGTGTAAATCTTGCATTGCACTCCGTATAGGTAATGCCTCCAAATTTTCAGTGCGAATACGATGACGGCTAGCTCGAGGTTGTGGGTGGGGTATTTTCTTCGTGGGTTTTGAGTTGCCTAGATGCGTATG